ATATATATATATATATATTGTGCTGACTGATAAACCCTGCATGTTAATGTATATATAACCTGCATGTTCCTGTAATGGATAGGTAATGTTTCATCGTGTGCTAGTTATCAATTTCATTGTGGCAATGGACACTGCATTCCTGATACCTGGGTATGTGACAGTGGAATTGATTGTCAAGATGGTTCTGATGAAGATGAGAATATATGTGGTATGTTGTTATTTGTCTGCCTTCCATTTTTTGTATCCGACGAAGTCAAATTTCAATTTTACATAGTTGTACTACTGACACTAAAATTACTTTGAACTTATTGTTTAGAACATTATACTCTGTCAATGTGGTATCTAAGTACAGCATTTATAGGCTCAATATAATGCTTTCTATGCAAAGAAAGCTGTTGACTAAATTACTAAATAGAGAATACCCTTCAGTATTAGTTTAGTCTTGTCAGTGCGTAAAGCCCTACTATTGGTACTGCTATCTTAAAGGTTATTCGGAATGTATATATATATATATAAATTAATACCATTCAAATGACAAAATGATGAGGACAGATGAAACGTTCTTATTTCGAATAGATGATCGTCCTACGTGCGATGATACTGAATTTACGTGTGGCACAAATGCTTGCATTCCTGATTCTTGGGTATGTGATGGTGATAATGATTGTCAAGATAATTCTGACGAAGCTGAGAACGCGTGCGCTACTGATGGTAAGTCACAAACATAGGCCTATCTAAATTTGTTTTACAGATCTTGCTTTATGTTTATTATTCAAAATAATTTTGTTTTTGTTTCGCTCTTTGATTTAATCTTCGGTTGTACAGTTTTTACTGATATGCCTGTCGGGGTTCGTATATGAGATTATTTGTAGATGAGTGCTGCAAAAATTGGTCAAAAAACAAGCTTGCGTACTTATGCTGTACAGTAAATGATGGGAATAGTCTACCATATTGTATTGTTTAAATTATCTTCAATAAATAAGTTAAAGGGACATCTTCAAACGCACTGGGGAAACCATATCCTGAAGTTCGGACTCTAGCAATTTGGATAATAATTATATTTAGCGTTCTGATGAAGATGAGAATATATGTGGTATGTCACAATTGTACATATTTTCCTAAATATACTTATATTATTTATACCTGGTTTTTTTTATTGTACACTATTAATTGACCATTTCATATCTGCATTTATGATCAAGTTTTTTTTTTGTCTTTTTGATGTTTAATCTTGATTATGTGTTATTATCTTTACTTTTGTCTGCCTTCCATTTTGGTATCCGACGAAGTCAAATTTCAATTTTACATAGTTGTACTATTGACACTAAGATTACTTACTCTGTCATTGTGGTACCTAAGCACAGCATTTATAGGCTCAATATAATGCTTTCTATGCAAAGAAAACTGTTGATTAAATTACTAAATAGAGATTATGCTTCAGTGTTAGTTTAGACTTGTCCTGTCCCTTATACACATCTAGATGTGTATAAGAGACAGAATTAATACCATTCAAATGACAAAATGATAAGGACAGATGAAACGTTCTTATTTCGAATAGATGATCGTCCTACGTGCGATGATACTCAATTTACGTGTGGCACAAATGCTTGCATTCCTGATTCTTGGGTATGTGATGGTGACAATGATTGTCAAGATAATTCTGACGAAGCTGAGAACGCATGCGCTACTGAGGGTAAATCACAAACATAGGCCTATCTAAATTTGTTTTACACATCTTGCTTTATGAATTTGATCTTCGGTTGTACAGTTTTTACTGATATGCCTGTCGGGGTTCGTAAATATTATGGGATTATTTGTAGATGAGTGCTGCAAAAATTGGTGCGATCAGTCGGTCAAAAAACAAGCTTGCATATTTATGCTGTACTTACTGATGGGAGTCTACCATATTGTATTGTTTAAATTATCTTCCATAAATAAGTTAAAGGGACATCTTCAAGCACACTGGGGGAAACCATAGCCTGACGTTCCAGTCTCTGACGACACAAACGCCGACGTGCACTAAATTTATCTAATGAAGTTCGTTAGGACAAAAATGCTATGATATATTTTTATATTATATTTTGAAGGTTCAATATCACTTGTCGGTGGGACAGTAGACAGGGAAGGTCGAATTGAGGTCCTTGGGTCTGTTTCTGGGACTGTATGCTCAAATGGATGGACCAGAAGTGACGCTCATCTACTTTGTAAAAGTCTGGGCTACGAAGGCGTCCAAGAACATTTAGTGTACACATTTGGAGAAGGAACAGGAGACATTTGGTCAAATATTAACGGGTGCATCGAAGATTTTTCTAACCCTAGTTGCAATCCTGTCAACTCAAGCACAGACCCAAAGTGTAGTCACTCTGAAGATGTTGGTATCATATGTTTACCAAGTAAGTCAATAATAATAATAATAATAATAATAATGATATTTAATCATTTTATAGACCAATTGAACATGCTTTACCTTATCAAAATAAGTGTATTTGTGCAATAAGCGAAATTTTCATTGTTATTTTTTAATTTTTGACATAATATTTAGATGTGCATATCATCTAATGGCAATATGAAGCATTTTGTTTTTCCTCGATTGCCTGTTTTCAATCACCGTATGTTGTCAGTGTTAAATGATTGGAAAAAAAATCATTTGAAATTTGATTGTATTAAATTATTTGTTTATAGTACAAATTCGATTAGTGGGCGAAGAGTTACACGAAGGTCGGGTAGAGATTTACTATTTTGACCAGTGGTCAACAATATATGGCCTACACCTCGTTGAGGCTAACATAATTTGCCATCAGCTAAGTTACCCTGCTGCCGAGTTTTCTGACTGTTGTGGAGTATATGGAACAACATTTGGCATGCGTTCGTATGTAGTTAATTGTGTGGGTGATGAACAAGAAATATCTGATTGCAGCATAGAAAGAACCTCCAACCTCGACCGTCAAGCTGGAGTCACTTGTGCTAGAGGTAAGCCTACAACTGCATTATATCTTTACGCTAAGATAAAAGCTCTATACAATTTATGATTGAACACAAACATCTTGAAGTAACATTAAATCAAAATTTACGTGGTATTCACAAGTTTAATCTATAGATTATAAAGCAACTATTCTATTGAACTTATTATCTGTAAAACTTTGTCTCAGAAAATGTTGCTCTACTATCGTACATGGGTAATATACGAAACAATAGTAGGACTAACTATCATTTGTTCCTTGTTATAGCTTTGTAGCACGAAGGCCGAAACAGATAAAAGCCTTAACAAATTCCCTGTAAATTTAAGAACAACCTACTTAACTATTATTATGAAGTTGGTAAAAACTTACTCTCACTTTATGTACCTGGAGTGGAGTTAAATAGCTTGGTGGTTAAGATGCTTGCCTTCCAATCCCAGGGTCATGGGTTCAATTCCTGTCAGTTGCAGGACTTTTTCTCACGACCAAAACAACTCCACTCCCTAAACCTCATATTGAGATTTAGTTTGTGTAAAAGTTTGTGTAATTTAGTAATGTGTGTCTTGTGTGTCGTGGACTGTTTTATGTGTAATGGGCCCTCTGGGAGAACAGTAATTTGTTACTGAAGAGGAAACCCAGTATCTGGTACGGGCATTTATAATGTATCATTATTTAAATTCGTTCAAACATTTTTAATTGACACACAAAAAAAAACCACACATACACACCTGTCTCTTATACACATCTAGATGTGTATAAGAGACAGGTATATATATATATATAAATTAATACCATTCAAATGACAAAATGATGAGGACAGATGAAACGTTCTTATTTCGAATAGATGATCGTCCTACGTGCGATGATACTGAATTTACGTGTGGCACAAATGCTTGCATTCCTGATTCTTGGGTATGTGATGGTGATAATGATTGTCAAGATAATTCTGACGAAGCTGAGAACGCGTGCGCTACTGATGGTAAGTCACAAACATAGGCCTATCTAAATTTGTTTTACAGATCTTGCTTTATGTTTATTATTCAAAATAATTTTGTTTGTG